TCCTGGAGGAGGTAAATAGAAGATACAAAAAACAAAGTGCAATGCAAAGAGAAATGAGGCATATGGAAAATGTCACCAGAGGAAGTTTTAGCTTATTACCAGAAAAGAGGGAAAAGGCCACTGCTAGTACTGGCCAACATCAACACACGCCAGTCTTTTCTTTTTTAAACAAAATTTATTTATTTATTTTATTAATTACAGTTTATTCACTTTGTATCCTCACTGTAGCCCCTTCCCTTATCACCTCCCAATCCCACCTTCTTCTCTCTCTTCTCCTCCTATGTCCCTCCCCAGGTCCACTGATAGGGGAGGTCCTCCTCCCCTTCCCTCTGACCCTAACTTATCAGGGCTCATCAGGACAGGCTCATTATCTTCCTCTGTGGCCTGGTAAGGCTGCTCCTCCCCACCCCCCGAGGGAGGTGATCAAAGAGCCAGCTACTGAGTTCATGTCAGAGACAGTCCCTGCTCTCATTACTAGGAGACTGAGCTGCCATGGACTACATCTGAGCAGGGGTTCTAGGTTATCTCCATGCATGGTTCTTGTTTGGAGTATCAGTCTCAGAAAAGATCCCTTTGCCCAGATTTTTTGGTTCTGTTGTTCTCCTTGTGCTACTCCTGTCCCCTCTAGGTTTTTCTATCTCTCCCTTCTTTCGTAACATTCCCTGCACTCTGCCCAAAGTTTGGCTATGAGTCTCAAAGCATCTGCTTTGATACCCTTCACAATAGCCACTAATAACAAAGTACCTTGGTGTGACTCTAACCAAGCAAGTGAAAGACCCAGTTTGAAAAAAAAAAATTCAAGTCTCTGAAGAAAGAATTGAAGAAGATATCAGACGGTGGAAAGATCTCCCATGCTCATGGACTGGTAGGATTAACATAGTGAAAATGGCCATTCTGCCAAAAGCAATCTACAGATTCAATGCAATTTCCAGAAAAATACCAACACAATTTCTTTACAGAACTTGAAAGAATAAGTCTCAATTTCATATGGAAAAAGAGTGTCTTTTCTTAATATTTTCTTCAAAAAGGGAACTAGAACAGAAGCTAGAAAAAAGAGCTGGGACAGTGGCTGGGACACTGTCTCCACCCCTTGATGTCTTCCTGCTTGCCTTCCTCACATTTTCTGATACCTAGCCTCTCTCTCACTTAATCCCTAGAACCTCCAGACTCCTACAACCCCTTCCCCAACACCACAGTCTCCCATTATGTTCTTCAGTCCTCCAGCCAAGTTCCCCCTGAGGTGTGAGTCTGGAAGACCTAGGGAGGCATCCATCTTTCTCCAGGCTGTATATATTTGAGCAGTTTCCAACAATTTAAACCAAACCAGATGTAGACAGCTACTCTGAATGGGTCCTTGGACACCAGGCAAAGGATTTGGCTAGGGGAGGAAGTGGGTTTGCAATTGTTTTTTAAGGTTTCTTCGCTTCCCTTAGAACCTATGAATTGCCAGATTTCTGCCAGATTCCCACCTGTACTAGATAGTTTTATGTCAGCTTGACACAAGCTAAAGACATCTGCGTGGAGGAAGCCTCAGTTAAGAAAATGTCTCCATAATATCAGGCTGTAGGCAAGCCTGTAGAGCATTTCCTTAACTAGTGATTGATGGTAGCAGCCCATTGTGGATGGTACCACCCCTGAGCTGGTGGTCCTAGTTTCTGTATGAAAGCAAGGCTGAGCAAGCCATGATGAGCAAGCCAGTAAGCAGTATTCCTCCATGGCCTCTGCATCAGCTCCTGCCTCCAGGTTTCTGCCCTGTTTGAGTTCCTGTCCTGACTTCCTTTGATGATACACTACAATGTGGAAGTGTAAGCCAAGTAAACACTTTTCCCCACAACTTGCTTTTGCTGTTGGTGTTTAGTCACAGCAATAGAAACCTTAACTAATACATTACCTTTTGATTCTAGTATTTGGGGCTTTGGATAACACCAGTCTTTGAGACTGCATGACTTTTCAGCCATTCAAAGACTTAACCAGTCACACACAATTTTACTTACCAGTCTTTGAGATCAAGAGCCATTCCTCTGTCCTATAGTGAGATGTCCACACTTTTTCCAGGCTAGTCTTGTGTCTCTAACAAGCCTTGCATATCTGATCTGGACAGTGAAGCTTACTGATCCTATCAGGGAACTGTAGCTATAGACTGCCTGGCTGAGGAAACGCTAGCGTGGATGTGAGAGTGAATAGTGGAGGGAGTTCTAAGTGGGTATTGGTGGGAAGGGCCTCAGAGAAGTGTATCTGCCAAGCTATGTGGCAGCATTGTTGAGAGGTCCTATACTTTCAGTCCATGGTTCTCTTTCCCAGTCTTTCTTTGGAAGAATACTCAGTCCTCTCTGACAAAAACAGACTCACTGGATTCACAAGTGGAAAAGGTTTATGTAGCTTGAACGAGCAAGTAATCTTTCCCAGCTATTCCCGGCTCCCCGGCTCCTGGGTCCATGAAAGTGGTGAGTGGGTTTCTGAGCTTGCACAGGGTACGTTTAAATACAGGCAATAACCAGGTGAGCCCAGTGCTTTTATGAATAACTTTATTAATAGAATTGACATGTGTGTATGTGTGTGAGTGTGTGTTATGTGAAAAGGCAATGAATACGTCACTTACCTCAGAGATACCAGCCCCTCCTTTACTTAGGATAGGTAGTAAGACCTGTTTTTTTGTTTGTTTGTTTGTTTTTGTTTTGTTTTTAAATTAGGGCTCCTAACGATGTTCCTGTGAGTGCCAATCCCAAGAGAGATGCTCTCAACAAGGCACTGCACGGTGAAGCAAGTCTGGAGTGTGCTGTGTCCTGCTTCCCACCCCATTGTGCGCGCAGTCCCACACAGTGTGAGGTAGCATTAAAGGCTCCAAGCCGTCCTGCTGGGAAGGAACCTACTTAACTTTACTTAACCCAGGCTTCCTCATTTATTTGATTGCAAGTTTCTGTAGCACTAGTATTTTGTGACCTACATTGTAGAAACAGCACCCCAGATGCCCTCAGCGTCTGCAGCCATTCATCAATGTTGTGTTGGCATGCTGTCAGTTTTCCTTTCTGGACCAATTTTCCTAGGCAAGGTCAGAAATTCCTCAACCACTACTTCTGCCCTATTCTTGCTGTCATCCAATTTGTCTTGGAATTTCAGACATCAGCACCAGGCCCGGGATAGCTTGCTCTGCTCCAGTCTTGTGGAATCAGCGGTCCCTGGGTTAGCCTTTTTGTCACCCCACACACAGAGCTCTTGATTAGAGCCAGCTATGTGCTGGAGGTGTATTCTTTCTGATCCTTGTGCTCTGGTGGCCTTACCAGGGTGTATGTTGGGTGGGGACTTGTCCTAAGACAGCGGATGTGCATGCTAGTGCGCCTGCAGCACGTTCAGCTCTCACAGGTTGCCCTTAGCTACCCGAGTTCGAAGCGGAAAGGATGCCTAGCAGTACATGTGTTCCATGCAGCGGCTCCCCTCCATCCACGAGGTCTTGGGAAACATAGTAGAATCTGGGACAGGAGTCTGTCTGGAGGTCCAATGAGGCTCCTCTGTTTTCTAGATCAGGTGGCTGAGCCTGAGGAAGCAGAGGATTTCTGGGTGTGAGAACTGGAGATGTGTGGGAAGGAAGGGCTGCCAGCTGTGGGAGCATGCCTGTGACTCAGGGATACATGGAGATGGTGGCGGGGTGTGTGTGTGTGTTGGGGGGCGGGGAGATTTGGGTACCACCAAATTTGGTGGACTACAAAAGTCACCTTCTCTCCAGCCTCCTCTGCTAGCTTCAGGACCAGACCAACTGACAGGCCACTAATGTTTCTGTGCATCCTTGGCCTTTACTTGCAGAAGGCTCTGGTCCCTGCCCTTCCCCAGAGATCCCTGGATGCTCATTTGATGCTACTGACACAATATTACAGTGGGGATGGGAAGAGAGGCATGGGGGCTTCTTTTTGACCTGGTTTTCTGTACTAGGAAAGAGGTGTCTAGGTCCTGTGATCTACACGGGGAGCCCTGCTCTCTGTTGGGTGACAGGTGAATGGTCTCTGTTGTCTCCTCTTTGTCAGAAGTACTATCCTCCTCCCCCACTGTGAGTTGTGGAATTTGCCAGAGAATAGGTTGAACTGTAAGGCTAGTGACACATCTGGCTCGTGTTTGTCATAACAGTAATTACAGAACAAAATCCCAATGTGCAAAATGACTGGGTCCAGGGAGGAAGCCAGTGTTTGCCTTTTCTAGCCATGGCCCCGCCTCCCCTGAGCTTACAGCAAAGCCTTTCTGCAGGAGTCAGGATGCCTCCTTTGAGTCACATTTTTTTCAAAAGGGCATAGAGAGCACCTTACCTGTCTTTAGAAAACCAGCAGGGAAAAGCTTGTATATTTATAAGCTTGTATATATGTATATTGGATTCACAGTTTGGCTCCTGGAGGCTGGACTCTACTATGGTAGAGTCCAGCTCATGCTATGCCTTTCTGGTGCCTGTAAATGTGGAAGCTTAGGAGAAAATAAGGTGATAGCAAGGGCTGGCCACATGGTTTCCTTCCCAGAGATTCTTCTTTCCCCCCAGTTGGTCGCAAGGTTCCAGACCAGAAGGGTGACTCTAGATGTGGTTCTGAAAGGGCAGTAGACAGCCACAGCTGGGTCCTTATTGTGGCCAAAGCTGGGCGTGGGAAGAGCAGGATCCTGCTACAGGGTTCATCTTTCTTCTTTCTTCCCCATCAACTTGAAGCCCTGTTTAGTGCCTGGGTTTATGTTTTATTTCATTCACTGACATATCATTGGGTATCTGACATATGCCCAACTCTATCATTTCCCACCCCCTTCCTTTTCTTGGAGAAGATGCTTCATTTTCACAGACCAGTTCTAAATGGTAATGCCTCCTGTGCTAAGGACCATACACTGTCCGGCCTGCCTGCCTGGAGGAATACATTAGTGTAAATGATTCACCCTGCAAGGACCATCAAGAAGAAGTTTGTGTGTTTATGTACAAGGCCATTTTGGAGGCTGTATCCTCTCTTGCATGGACTTGATCCTTAACTCCTCTTTTTCACGCCATTTGAGTACATGATCCTGGCCACCATCATTGCCAACTGCATCGTCTTGGCCCTGGAGCAGCATCTTCCTGAGGATGACAAGACCCCGATGTCCCGAAGACTGGTATGTGCCTGCTTTCTTCTCCCTTTTCTCCTACTGGTTCCCCTGACTCAACCCCTCTTCCCCAACTTTCTTTCTCATACAGTCCTGCGAAGACTATTCTTTGCTGAGGGACAAGTTAGGAATAAACCCTGCCGGGACACACAAGGAAAAGGGCATTGCAAATGCTTGTGTGTACATCCCGTGACAGTCAGGCAAGAAGAAAGGGCAGGCATGAGGGCCATTTGCTTCCCTCCTCTTTCCTAAGGGACTGTTGAAGTGAGAAGAAAAGGAGGGAGGATGCTGAAAGCTGAGTGTGTTGGTGGTTATGAACTTGCTAAATGCCGACGTCTTTATTCTCCTAAAGGAATGATTCACATGTCTAATGTATTCCTCCCGAAGAGGGCACACAAATTATTTTAAGTCCAAAACAAATGGGTGAGTGGCCAGACTAATGACCCAGGCATGAGAACTCTGAAGTTTCTAGCTGGTGTAGAAACCCAAGAATGGAGGAATGAGCTCCTTTCTGGGCAATGATGTGTTTCAAGGACTTTCAGGAGAAAAATGTCTAGCCCCTAGAAGGGACAGATCTGTTCATTTCTACAGTCCTGTTCCCTGTTCTGTGTATTTCATGTAGCTTCAGGTCCTCTGGGTCCTTCAGTAACCTAAGCTGTGTCCATATACAAGGCTGGCTGTCATGGTGGCAGGAGATGGCCAAGGTATGCCTTTCCCTGTGTCTGATAAAGACTAATCCTGTTATTGTCCCCCTGCTCTTCATCCTCACAGGAGAAGACAGAACCATATTTCATTGGGATCTTCTGCTTTGAAGCTGGGATCAAAATTGTGGCTTTAGGGTTCATCTTCCATAAGGGTTCATACCTCCGCAATGGCTGGAATGTCATGGACTTCATTGTGGTCCTCAGTGGGTGAGTCTCCTTTTTTTTTTTTTTATTGCTCTCATTTCGTGTGTGTGTGTTGACATGGGGTAGCTGGTACAGGGAACACAGGGTGAGCAGAGATCAGAATGTAGAAGAAACCGAAAAAAAGGTCAAGGCAAAGAGTCTCCATGTAGCTGGACCATAAAGAGCCCATCCTTGGAAGAGTTGGGTGCATGGAGCATTAGGCCAATGTGCGGGAGTCTCAGGCATGCCTGGGTTCCCATTGTATACTTGCTAGATTGCTGAACATGCAGTTTTCCAAGGAAGAGCCTTTTAACTGAGGCAGTCAGCTTGTGCTGGTCTAGGGGAGGGGTCATCCCAAGAGATCAATTTAAAGATGCAGCAGGTATAGTTTCTTTGGCGGGAATTGGAGATTACAATTATTATTTTTTCTATACTAAAACTTAAGATTAACACACTGATAACAGAATTAAATGATCTGTGGATTTATTAATGGCATAAAATTGAATCCCATGAAAATACCTGATAAGTCATTCCTTAGAACTTAATATAGTTTATATTGGGTCTGACCCAGGGTCATAGGCACATATAAGGTAGTGATACCTATAGGTGAATATTTGTAGCATCGTTCGAGTATGAACATAGTATGAGGATGATGGGTATATCCAACGCTGTTGGCAGCAGATGTGATGGGTTTTGGCATTGGGAACGATGAAAATACCATACAGGGTTTCTGTGGCTTATGAGTCTTTGAGTCCACTGGCTTTTGGTACGTGCAGAAGAGAGGAGTAAACTTGTATAGGTAGGTGTGGCATCAAGTGCTTAACATGAAAATTTCCTAACTTAGCTGCCTGGCTCACTGGTGAGGACAAGCAAAGATACAGGACACTGAAGAGAAGGAATATGTAGCCACTATGATGATGAGCAAACATGAGGAAAGAGGAAATTTGTAGGGAGTAGTTGGGTAAGGGTAAAGACTGAAAGGGTGAGCTTGGGAGCCATGTATCTCCTCATTGTCTTGTGATGTAGACACAGGGCTCATTTTTAAGCATTTAGGCCAGTTGTGATTGAGTAAAAGAGAAGAGGTTGAAGATATAATGGATTAGAATATAGCTTACACGCAGCCAGCCTCAGTATAGGCCATGGATAAATAGGGTTGAATGTTCATGTTTAAAAAGTACCTGCTGCCTTACAGCAGGATTTTCTGTAGGGCATTTTTCAAAAACACAATTCAAATGCTGTGTTTTAAATATGACTTAGTATATATGGTATCACAGAAGAATATTTTCATAGAAAATGTAGCAACTGAGTGATATTTTACGTGTCTCTAAAATCAATAATATATACTGCATTAGAAAAGTCCTAAGTTAGGACTTGAGTCATGTTATGATTCCATTTGGAATGAAAGTGTTGTTGTTGTTGTTGGTGGTGGTGGTATTTGTTTTGTTTTTCCATAATATTTTTATTAATCATTCGTGAGTTTCACATCTTGCACCCTAATCACACTCCCTCCTCAGTCCTCCCAGGTCCAGGTCCTACCCTCGTGGCCTCCCACCTACACCAAAACAAAACAGCTCTAATTTGTGCTGCTCGTATACTCACTGGCGCATGGTCAGACTTCCAGTGGCCAGCACCTTAAAGAAAACTGAGTCTTTCTCCACCCACACCCCTGCGAGAAGCCATCAATTGTGAAGAGCTACTTTAATCACAATTTTTAAAACGTTCTCTTTAATGGCCTTTTGTCTGGAGTGTTACCTTTGTGGGGCTGGGGGTTGTCACAGAAGCCTTCTGTGTCCCTGTTTCTCAACTGTGAGTCTGCAGTCATTGACATCACTGCAAAAGTAGCTTCCTTGTCCTTTATAGACAGCAGAGCACAAATCATAGACTTGCACATAGTTTTCAGTGACAGTATGTTTATTTGTTTTTGGTGTGTGCCTGTGTAATTGGTCCTGCTCCATGTTTTATGCACTGAAAAAATTTAAAGTTTCTGGTCTAAGCCATTCATTTTTATTTTAAACTGTCATATATTGATCGTTTTAAAAATACAGAAAAAACAAAAATTAGAAGAGAAAAACCTGTGTTCACTGATTAAAGGCAATTTCTGATTTTAAGAGCAATTCCTGGTTTTTATGGCATCGTCTCCCAGCCCTTTAAAGCTAAGAAAGTGTTCTTTCAAATGTCTGTAATTTTGCTGCCTCTCTCGATATATGATGAGCCCATTCCACATCGTCCCATGCTTTGCTGGAATTTTGCAGTGAATGATCAGCACTTTGTTAAGAGGATGTACACAGCTTATTTCTTGTTTCTGCTTGTTATTCGACACTTAGATTGCCTCCTGGTTTTTGCTGTGATAAATAATCATTAAAGATGCTCTAACATACGTCTTTTGGATGCCACACTTTACTAGACATTCTGACAGGTTGAAGTGCTGTCAGTTCTCCATATCTTTGGCTTCTGAGCATATCCAGTCAAGCGTGAATAGGAAATATTTGGGAAAAATGCATCCGTAGTGAGCCTGCAAAGACTTTTTATTCTTATCACTATTCCCTAAGCAGTATAGAATAAGTAATATTTACGAAGCGTTTATGTTGCATGGTCTTGTAGGTAATGTAGAGATGATTTAAAGCATCCAGGAGGGAGGATGTGCATACATTGTATGCTAATAGCAGATAGCTCATAGAATATATGTGAGCACATATGAATTTTGGTATTCACAGACCCTCAGAACCAGGCTCCTCTAGGTACCATAACACAACTGTACTTTACAGGGGAATCTGGTGGTTCTGGTATGGGAAGTGGGGACTATGATGGGTGTGGAGGGCCCTTACCATCTGACCAGACGAGGGAGAGATTAGCACAAGCTTTAGTAAGGGCTGTTGACATGGCTGAAAGAGCAGATTTGTGGGGATCAGCAAGGCACTTCTGCTGCTGTAGCCAAGAAGTCCTGCATTTCTCACCTGCATGTCCAGGCAGTGTCAGAGCTTGGCCAAGTCAACTGTCCTGCCTGAGCTGTCTGCCCAGCTTTCCTGGTGGCTCCTCAGACTTTGATGGTTGTATGGGTGATTCTGAGAAGCCGATACTTTCTAGAAGAACCAACAAGACCTTGCTCCTGATCCCATCCCTCCTCTAGCCAACCATGCAGGAGCTCTTCTCAGTTCCATGCAGATCTTTTCCAGACAACAGGTTCAGTGTGCTCTTGACTGCTGAGGGATGGGGTTCTGTCTGTCTGCAATGGAATGGGTCATTGAATTGTCTATATTTGTATGTTCATCTACTACCTTGCTTTGCTGCTAGGAGGGTTATCATCTGTGAAGTCAGTTCACATCTTAGCATAATGGCATGGTGGAGCTTGATGGTGTTTTCTTCTCTCTCTCTCTCTCTCTCTCTCTCTCTCTCTCTCTCTCTCTTAGTGGTATATTAAAGGACCAGACATTTTGCAGTGATAGGGTCTTAACTTCAGACAAATATGCTGCAGTACCAACTAGTGAGATGGGCAGACTAGACTTTCAGAGATGAATTATATGGTACCCATCGAAGTTATGTCAGTTGCTCACTATCACCAGCTTTCTGGTGGCAGATCCTGGGGGTCAGATCATGCCCCCTGATGCAGGACTGATATATTTTTAAGCCCATTCCATGATTCCCCTCACCTGCCACACAACCCCCCCTCCCCCCTCGCTTCTTGACAACTGCATCCGGAGTTATCCTCGCTGATGGCACCCTTCCCACCTTATCTTCAGGTGTCACCTCACATTCTAGTCCTGTGCACCAGGGAATGACAGTGTCGGAGCATGACACAGTGTGTCAAGTCTGGGGCTGCACGACATCTCTGCTTGCAGTGCTGGTGGTAGGTGGGGGCAGGAAGATGGATGCCATGCTATCAGACAGCTGGTTCAGCATCAGATCTGTCATCATTAGCCTGCTGCTAAGAGACACGGATTTGGGGGGACTGGAGTCACCACATTCTGTCTGCCGCCCCTAACCTTTCATATTCTTAGCCCTGTAAGTTGTAAGTTGATGATGTGCATGGTTTAGAGTCTGTTCACGTCGTTTATTTCATACCATCCTTATACACCCATAAAAAGGGTTGTCTGGGTCCATTTTCCACAACTACAATATAGCAGACACGGGGTGCATCTTACAATTCTGGTGTCTGAAAAGTGTAAGATCTGACCCTGGCATCTGATGAAGTCCTTCTTGTGTCCTCACAGAGCCAATGACATCATATGCTGAAGAAGAGAGAAGAAAACTATCCAGACTCATCCTTTTAGCAGGAGTCTGTCCCTGTCATGCGAAGCCCATTCTGGTTATGGCAGTCCCAGCCTACGCTTTAGGGCGGTGTCCACATGACCGAATCACCTCAGAAAGGCACCATGCTTCCTATGTCGCAGCGCTGCTTAAATTTCTACAGGGGCATATGCGGGGGTCCTTTAGACTACAGTAGGGAACTTGTCCTCATTTTCCATACAGTGACATCGAGTCTCATAGAGGGAGTGTGTCTAAACAGTAGACACAGTCTAGGACAGTGGTTCTCAATACGTGGGTGAGTCTCTCTCAGGGGCGGCACACCAGATATCCTACATATCGGATGTTAACATTATAATTCATAACAGTAACAGAATTACGGTTATGATGTAGCAATGACAGAATTGTATGGGTCACCACACAATTAAAGGGTCACAGCATTAGGAAGTTTGAGAACCACTGCTCTGGACCTTAAGCCCACATCTTCTGCCTCTAAGTCTTCTTCAATATTTTTTGTTCTCAGTACCATCACCAGTCACTTTTGCTACCCCAAGGCTCTGTAGTTATAGATCTTCGTGTTTCATACTCCTTTGTTCCGCTAGAAACAGTGGATGGAGCACAGCAGGGATGCAGGGATGCAGGGACGCACAGCATCACCATACACGTGTTTCTAGTTCAAAGCGGGAGCTGCAAGTATGATTTGAGGAAGGCGAACACTCCTGTGTCCTTCTGAGGCTTGTCTGTGGGCCTGCGCTACCGTGCTCTGCTCTAGGGCAAAGAAA